CACACAAGCAGGGCAACTGTTCAAGCACATTTCAATCTGCTAAATGCCAAAAGATTTCATTCTAAGTGATTGTTGTTCTTGGTTTAATAGCTCTGAGACTATTTGTTATTGTTGTTGCTGTTGTTTTTATTGTTGGTAGCATTTAGAATTTAGCTGGAAGGCAGAGGCAATTCCCAACAGCTTGCATTTTCACCTGGCATCCAGAACAACAAGAGAAATCTCAAATGACTAAATAACCAAATAGCTTAGCTCACATTTAATTGTTTATTATTTTAGACTCAAGCTGCATCATTTTCGGGCTTTTATTAAAATTTGAATATTAAATGTGGTAGGCAAATTTTAATTGCTTGCATTCAATTGAGCTAAGCTAACTTTAAACCTAAAATGTTTGTTTATTTTGTTTTGTTTAGTTTTTTTTATTTATTTTTTTATTAAATAATAGCTCAATATATTTATGGCTTTAATCCTTAAGCTCAAAAGGGGATTTTTCACTCTAATATTATATAGAATATATTATATACAATATATACAAAGAAACCCCAATAAATGTAGACTAAATATTTTATGTAATATGTCTAATAAGTATATGTAAATATTTATATTTCTTATACAAATAAATTTCCATGCAGATTTTCTTAATTAAAGTAACTGCAAACAATTCTGCTCTCAATAAAAGTTTTTCATTAGTGACAGCAGCAACACGAGTTGCTGGTTATCAAGTTGTTGGCAGTTGTGGTTGCGAGACAGGCTGACAAAATTCGATTACATTCGACACGATACAGACAGGAGAATAAACACACACGCACACACACACGCACACACACATTTAGGCCTATCTAGAGGCAAGAACATAATTTTAATGCTTACATAAACTTTAATTAAAACAACTTTGGTGAACGCTAAATAGCAACGCCACAAGCAACAAAATACGCACACACACACAGAGACGATAGATATATTCGCAAACACACACACACACACACACACACACCGAGTAGTTTTTTGCCACTTGACATGATGCTGCTAATGAAGTGCATGAATACCTTAACAACATGGAACACTGCTTCTTGTATGTGTGTGAGTGTGTGTGTGTGTGTGTGCGCCTCTGTGTCTGTGTGCGTGCTCATAATCATTTTGATGGGCACGTAAAACTCTAACTAAAATCACTCGAGCACCCATCTCTACCAACGCATATATATGCATGCATACATGTATGTACATACACATGTATGTATGCATGTCCGTCTCGCTCAAAATAGCAGCATACTAAGCTGCAACAACAACAAGCGTCACAACAAACAACTCGAGCACAACTACAGCACGAGCTGGCCAAAATTAATATACAACATTTGCACGTGACTTTGATATTGAAAGCGTTTCTGCTGTGCATTTCATGGGCTGGTGAAGCCGCCACGCCCCATAAGTATGCTATACAAAACAGCACTCAGCATTCATTGCGACACACACATGCACACATGTAGCCTGTATTTCACTCCGTCTGGATTTATGCAAAAACTTTGGCCAAACGAAAATAGAAAATGAGAAAAAAAGGAAAATTAATAATTTCTGCTTTTTATTTACAAGTTTGTTTTAGTGATAAAGCGCTGCAGAAATAAGCGAGAAACATGTGTGTGTGTGTGTGTG